AACATCTCTTACAGCTCCAATCTACACTCAAAAAAGACTTAAATGTACTCGTAAACAAACATCGCTGGCTAACGCAAATTCTTGGAAACAGTGCATCTCTGACTCTCAATTCCAAGAAATGGAAGTCGTACTCTATTTGACCAAAGGGGTGACAGGTGGCCAAAACATATTGAAATGGTAGGTCATACACTGAAAATAACTCTGATTTAAAACACTACAAAATACACCTTCTCTCTAATATACTCGATAGATGATCTTAACAAGGAACATGTACATAAAATGCTGATATCTAACAACACCTGTACTTTAAATAATGGACTCTTCCAAATCTCAGTATGTTTCACTGCACACATATTAGATTGCAAATAATGAAAAACCTACCCTTTGACAATAATAAGAAACATCATATTCAAATTCTACAGCTGACCAAATACCTGAAAAGTGTGTTTCCCTTAAAAGCAATAAACATCTCTCTATATATCTATAAATGTATGACTTCTGTCCTCTCGCGTGCTATCTTGCATCCAGCTGTTTACGGCGAAAAACAATATGGCGCCAAACAAGGGAGTGCTCATTAAACTAAACGTCTCAGGGAGAAATCATTGTCAATTTTTTCTCTTAAATGATCAACCTTTAATATATAAATGAAAAAAGAAGACCAACTATTATCACCAAAAAAGACCAAACATTATCACAAATATTCAAAACAGGTGGTAATGAAAGAGCATTATCATCTTTCTCTTAAACTTTGTGGTGGATATATCACTGGAAACAAGTGAAATGTTAAAAACGTGTTACCTTAGCCTTGCTCTATTATGTGATCCACAAAATTGCTGCCACCCAGTCTTCGAAGATGAGATTTCTGCAAATTCCCATAAAATAATCTTATTTCATAATTAAATGTTCCTTACATTAAAATTACTTCTTTTGTATGTAAGATTTTAACCTTTAAGAGACATGAATTATCATATCCCTTCCAAACAAGTGTAAGAATGAAAGTCTGTGGGTGCAGTTTTGTTTATTGTCCCATCAAAGAATCGTTAGTGAAGTTACACTTTTTGTAAATAAATAAAAGTTCAAATAAATTATATACAATTTCATCCTTACCACAAAGACTTTCACAAGACATTTTAATGTGAAAACTTTCGTTGCATTTCCTTACGCCATTCTTCCCCCCCCAATAATATACATATGTTGACAGGGTTCAGGGCGTGCTCAATGCATCATTTACTGATAGATCTATTCAAACGACCAAATGTTCATAATAATGGGATGCAATATAAAATGTTGATTAACACTATCCGATTTTGTGTAGCTGCCCTTAGGGACCGTTCATAATGTATGGCTTTGGGGTGATGTTGATTTTTATGTACAATGTGAATTACACTCCTCCCCTAAAGTGTATGAGTATGTACAGAATAAGAGACGGCCCACCCTGCATGTCATGAACATTATCTATGACGCCCTCTTCCCTTCCCATAATTTCTAAACATAGTGCGTGTGTACAAAATGCTGACCCCTTAGCTCCCTGAACAAAATGGGTGACACCCCACCCCACCCTCCAACCCTTACAATCAACACCCCCACCCGCAGCCATATATTTAAATATGAACGGTTCCTTATATTGATGTACTTCATTGATTATTTGAAAATGTATATTTGCAAAATTCAAATCAGGTGATGGGTACGAAAGGAAATCTTATTCGATTATATAATAAAATGCCAAATATATGCATGCAAATATCTTGAAAAATAACAAAACAAGTTCATGGAAAACACGGGCTTCCACTAAATTTTGAGAAACATGTACTGTGACATACCGGTAACCTTGTGAGATAAAACATGAGCCCTAATTCGGAGTTTCTTGCTACTGCTAGATTTAAACGGCATTCCTACGTTTTCATTATACATGAAGGACATACTTACCAAATAAACACCAGCATGCCGTGAAGATGGTGAAAATAGAACGATAACGATATTGCGTTGAACTTCGCCAAAGTGAACTGACAACGATCAGCTGCGTTTGCGCGCGCGATAATTGTGCGCATGTCCGGATATGGCCAAACGAGGCGATCGAAAGGTCAACATCCGGCTTGTGTTTGAAAGCAAATTGTCGGGAATTATACAATTTTCACAGTTTTGTGGGAAAATATCAAATGTAATGCAATTTGGATAACTGATGACTTTATACCTAAAACTGCGATTTACGTAATATTTCCGTCCGTTGATCGATGCACAATCAAATAATATATAAGATTATATCTGTCACTAGCTCGATCTTGATCTTTTATGAAAATAATGTTCCGAAATGATAGTTGCTAAGTTGGATACCTATTACCAATATGAATTATGTATCAAATTTGCCAAGGAAACAATTAGTTGACATTTTGTTGGTTCCTTACGTTGAAACAACGTTGACAACTAAACGAATCTCGACTAACTTTCTTTGGTCGCATGATAAACGTTGAATCAACGTTTATGAAAGGTTGATCAACCAAACAACCAAAATTCAACGTTGATTCAACGTTGTGTGCCCGCTGGGCAATAACACGCTGATTGATTAGTTGTTTTTATCCTGCACAGCGGGTTTGTTTATTTGTTAAGGTAGTGTTTATGTATATGTAAATTTACTAGTCTATACTGAATACACCCTGTCGTAAAATCGTTTTGTAAAAAAAACGTCCTTCCTTCAAAGGATTAACCGCCAATACATTGATTGATTGCTCATTATTGGCTAACTAAATTACTTTTTAAAGATTGGCGGACATCGTGCAATTAGTTGCCAGGTGGGCTATCTTGGGTGACCAATGGGACTACACACCAATGTGAAAAACCTGAAACGATAGATCACGTTTTCGCATATTAGACTGTTAAAAGACACATGACATGGAACAGGATACTTTGTCAGCTGCAGATGAATGGCATCTCATTCCTTTATGTGGATATTGATGGATACATTCCCCGAACAAGGTAATAGCCTAATATTTTGCTATAACTTAGTCTGTTTTAATTTAATATTTGCATTTTGTTTTTATTTATTCGTTATGGCAATCAACAGGAAAAATTGTTTTGCCTAGAAGTGTAATGAGACAGACAACATACACTAGGTCGCATTCAGGGCATGTGTGTTAGCAATGTATAAAATGTCTAGATATTACAATCATGTTATACATTCACTAAGTATAAGCAGATCGTGTTTATGTTATTAAGTTTCAAAATGCATACAAATATGATAATAAACTAAATTAGGATTATAAGACAAAACATAAAGATGTACATTGACTTCGTTATTTCAGTCCTAACATTTTTACCACTGGCAGATGTTTAAACTTTACATGTTTTCATTTGTTATCAAAATAATGCCATTTAATACAACATTCAGATTTGACTAGTAGTGAACCCAAGCTCACCACTCCCCATGTACTTAGTTAACCTTACTTTTAAAACAATGCTATTATATCAGGCTTCTCGCCAAATTCAAGGTCAAACTATTTCTTAAATTAAATTCTACATCCATTTACGTTAACATTTTTATAAAGTCAACATCACTATGAAATCAAAATTTTACATCAAAACCAGCATTCATATCAAAGTGAATATTTTTTTTATATAAAACCAAATTATTCATCTGTTATGAAATGACAAGGCGTCAAATTTCATAGGTTTATTGTAAAGAAACAAATTACATTCAAACGATTGCGTCTGCTCGAACGATGATGCTCTGCGCATGCGCGTCTCAGGGAGTGCTTATTTTCCATTGTCATTTGGAAGTAATCATTGCACGATACTGTAACATCATCAAAGTCTACATAATTTTACAACAAAATCAACATAAGATTATCGATTAAAAAAAGATCTCATCTTTGTTGATCAGTCTTTACTTATACTATCAATTGCGCATAAGGGTGGCGCAGCAGAGGTAACGAACCAGTCATGAATTCTGGGATATCATCCCGGTACTCACTGGAGAAAAATAATAACTGCTTGACAACGTTATAAGAAGCTATACCGAAACGTCGCATCATACGAAATAAAGAAGTTGTTATCCATAAAGCATTATACTTTTCTTTTTCCCGTTTATATTCTACTTGATGACGTGTATGCCCAACACTGACGTGGAGCCTAACTTAAAGTCTATTGTCATCCATTAGCAGATATATTTTTAAATGCTGACTCGAACTGCACTCACTCACTTACCATGAGTGCCATCTGCCTTTTCTCGGAGGCTGTTTGTGGAGGATCCTCACCGAGCTCATGCAACATCCGCTCTGTCTCAAGGAGTTTGCGACGCACGTCCTCCTTCAGTTCCGGTAACAGTTTCTACAACATTGTTCATGAGCAGTGTTTATCGTAACACGATTTGTAACTAGTCATAGATTCAACAAATTCCATATCTTCTTGCCTGATATATCTGGTTTCAAACACACTTCTTCTACAACACAATTTCAAATCAATTTTATATCAAGGCCTCCACCTAGCCTTCTTGAAGACAAGTCCGTTTTCGAAACATAATATACATGTATATCTCTTGATACCTCATATAATATGGGTGGGGGTGGGGTGTGGGGGTGGGGTGTGTGTATGGGTGTGTGTGTTAAAACACCAAATTGATATGCATTTTAGCAGAAATTGGATGTTAGTTTGTGCTAGTATTTGCTTTAGTGCTTAAAGTGGCAGAAACAGGCTAAGAATGAAGGACACTCCAAACCTGAACCTCAATGTCCTACACTTTTCATATAGCAAAACAAGCATCTTCTTCCATCGGCATATCCAAATATGCTAAAGAACGTGTTCCGAAATCCACAGTTATGCTGGAGATCAAAATATCATTTGCATTCCATCAGAGTATAAAATCTTTGCAGACACATCATACACAGTTTCTGAGGTATCGAAGATGTCGAAAAGGAAGTAACACATGGAAAACGGGAGATCTTATACGTCAGAGTTAGTAACTGGATAAAAGAATAATGAAATGCCAAAACGCCACGACATATGGTATTCCGAAAACTGCTGATTAAAATTTCATGGTCGGCCGCAAAGGGTTACAACTGGATTAGGATTTATGAAAGCACTTTGCCACGGTACCACAGCCAGGATTATCTAATCCAAATTTCAGCTTCGCAGACTTTGCAGAAGGTTGTTCTGAGAAGATTTCGAAAATGCGAACGTGACCGACAACCAGCAGGACGAAAGACAACGTACCACGGGGAAATGGGATATGACGAGTAAAAGCGTAATAAGCGGTCTGGGCACAGTAATTGTATTGCACACACCTTGATGTGTCTTTTCAGTTCTCGTGACAGTCTCGATGATAAGTCGGGGATTCCCCACTGAGATGGTCGCAAGGAGCTTGAACATATAAAAAATGCAATAGCAATATATCTCAAATAAATTCTCACATACGTCTTGTTTCTCAAACTCATATATTTGTGTATTATATTTCATTTCTTCCCCTTCCCAGTTACGCCGAAGTCAAAATTGAAGTCACACCAAGCGTGGTACAGGTGTACTGGTCTGGCGTCTTATCCTCAGATTCGAGGACATTCCAAATGTACAAAGTTCGGTTCATAGTGATTTGTAAACTACCTGAAATGTCTGTGACTTTTGAAGAAATCTTCTTCTATATCCAATGCCTGTTTCAAGGACTGGCCTTCCGATATAGCCTCCTGACCTCGACACTTGACAATGATGTAGCCCTTGGACAGTGTGAACTCCATGTTGTTCAGGATCCTAATCACACCGGTCTCGGCTCCCTTGTCCATCAAGTCCGGCTTTGTTAAAACCCCTGTGTAGATTCATTGTACCCGTTAGATATAAACATATTATCACTGCATATACATAAAAGAATTAACAAAAACTTTGACATCAATATGATTTCAAACATTATATTTACTGATGGCATTTTTAAAATATCAACCATATTGGATGACGTACCCAGAGTTCTTCCACCTTCGCCATCAAATTCTTTTGCCATTTTGAGCGCTTCGCACGTGGCAATATCCACATTACACTGTAGAACAGCAAGAATGATGGTCTCCTGGCGTTTAATGTATTTACGGATCATATTTTTAATCTGAAAAGCAATAATAACTGGTTTAGTGTTTCTGTAATTGATTGTTGATAGTATAGTTACTTTAGCAAATATTCCTGCATTGTTTTCTATTACTATGAGGATACAGATGTTAGTCCAGATGTTAAATACCCTGGGGTCTGTGTATTGAGCAACTATTCTTTCAACGTTTGACTCGAGTTAGGTTATTAGTTACAGGTTTTACATGGCAAAACTACATGTAATTATACGTTTCGTGAAGGATCTGCATTCCTGGATTCTATTATTGCCAAATCCACATAGATTGCGTCATACACTTCCATGTTTTATGTATCCTTTAATTAATATGGAATCAATCTTATTTCGACAAGAATGTTGATCGAAATTGGTACAGTTCAAAACTATGTGTAAACCGTAATTTGTTCTGAGGGAATGACATGTTTTGAAAAGCATTGCTGTGATGATTTCTTACCCTCGCTTCGATATCAAACGGCTGACCCTCGACAGCGTTTCTTGTGATACCTGGTAGGTCTATGACGGTAAGGTCAGGGACATCTGATGACGTCACTTCAAGCGTAATGAGTTCATCACTAATTCCCTTGGCACCATCTGTCATTTCCTTTTGAGCTGCATGCATGGGACATAATTAAAAGAAGCCTCTACACACTGTGAAGATTTTCATTTAAACAGACTCAAAGCCAGAAAAACGCAGTTACATAAGTGTTATGTGAAAAATAATGACATCGTGAGTTCAGTCTTAGCTTTTGTTACTGCATTTAATAAATTTAATTTCAATATATTCAATTACTTTTCAATAAATGCTGTTAAAAACACACTCAGAACAATATATTTATCTGTTATACAACCTTTCCGCACAAGGTCTCCAACACTCTCTCTGTTCAGGATGACTTCCTCCTGACGCATATCATGCTTGTCCTTATACATTATCTTTCCCTCCCACTTGTCCTCATCCTCTGAGTGCTTCATCCGCATCTCCAACGGGCACCTTGTCACAATACCTACAAACACAAATGGTTTTTTTTGTACTTAAAGTTCTTTAATTTTCAGATGAACATAACCTAACTAGTCAATACAGGTCGCGAAATCCAAGATATTTGTAAACAACATTGTGTGATTTTTAACGTTCCTCATACTGACCGAATTATTTGCAAGTTATTCTTCCAGATGCTGGAATTTGGCCTCTTCAAACCCGTCCAGTGGGCTTTGTAGGAAATCTGGCCTGAGGTATCAGATATCTGAAGGATAGCTTATAAACTTTGGTAAACTATCCACAAATAATTCTGTTCTCTATGTCGTTATCACGTGAAACAAGGCTTAGTCTTAGTTTGTATACAAGTGCACATAGGTTCTTTCCATATACTGAGTTACCGTTTGACGTCATTGCAGGTGTGTTCTTTGTAACAAACTGACCATAAACACAATTTACCCGTTCCTCTTGGAAGTTGAACGCCAGAGATTGCTTCAAGAACAGAGCTCTTGCCGGCACTCTGGTCCCCGATGACGGCAACGGCGGGGAGGTTGATGTCTCTGTCCAGACCATACCCACGTAGTTTGTCGACCAGGTCTATCAGGGGGCGCACCTCAGCGTCGAAGGACGAGGCTAGGGCCTTTGTTCTCTCCTCTGGCGACGCTATAGTTTTTGGCTCTGTGGAACGATTGTAAATATATATAAATAGCGGAAACTGAATAAATATCAGTAAGAGATTACATTTCAGTTAACTGATTCTATTTCTGAACCTCATTCTGTTCAATGGTGGCCTAAGGGAGCTAACTCGGGTAAAAAGAAGCGTCAGTGTAAAACGATAATGCTCAAATCAGGGATAATGCGTGGCTACTTTGTGGAGTTTCGTTTCAATGCTTTTGATTTATGAACAGCTATTTGATGGGCCGACTAAATTGTGTGACAGTCCTCGGTGAATGGCAAGGTAGATAAACCACGTGAAAGAGGTATAGATTTGATCCCCACACAACAACCTGCAGATTTATATATGTTGCAGGAAATGTGTATAATCAATAAATACACTAAACGCTTAAGAAACGTTACCCTCCTTCCTTAATGACGGAGGTACCTACCTTCAACTGGAATTGCGATGCGTGGACGATTTCTTGGCCTGTCTACGGTGACCCCAGTCTGTCTGAAGCCCTGAATTAGTCTTATAACCGTGATACGGTGGCATCCGAGGGCGTTTGGCAACAACATTGTATGTCAACCCCTAAGCCTTAATCTAGTCAACCCCATCTGCACCACCCCAAAGGCTCTTTGTCTCCCCTCAGCTGTTAATCGTGGCATATTTCTCGTACTTGTGTATCAGATCATTGTACATGTGAAAAGGATGTGAATATTGCTTGAATATTGCTGCGTTTTGGCGATTGATATTGCTATGTGTAAACAGAAAATGGAAAAATGTGACTTTCCAAGCAAAAATGGTAACAAAGATATTTTTAGATGTTCCTAAACATTTTTTTCACAATATCAAAGACAGGTTTTACTTGTTGTCACAAATGCAAATCAGCAAAACATGTTTAAAAAGACTGAAATCATAGGAATGATTATTTTACAACTCTACAGTCTATAGTTGGTTCTTGTTTTAATAGTTTACAAATGGTGACTGTAAATGGTTTAAATTGGTGTATTTCGGCTTGGACGAATACAGGACAATTTAACTCTTCTGAAAAGATGCATTTCCCCTAAATATGGATGCATTTGAGAATTGTTTTCGTTATTTGCATAAAGCTGTGTTGTTAAGCTTTCTTGTAAACTAATACCTTCTAACATATCTTTGATAGTTTTTCAGTAATTCATAAAGAGAGGAGGGTAACGTGTCTTTAGGCGTCTAGTGTATGTATATTTACTGAAATTTTCAGTAATTATGTATAATGACTGATTCACTCAGGAATTGTGTATATTTACTAAAATTTTCAATAATTATACATAATTCCTATAATTTAAGAAACAAAATTACACATATTTACTGAAATCATTTGAATTGCTGAAATATTGATATTACGCTTAAAGTCAGTGAGATTTTCATAGATATGTCTTCTTATGGTAGATAAAATACAGCAGGATCAAAGATTGAGTGTAGTTCAGTAACAACATAATCATACTTATTTAACAAAAAATCATGAAAACAATGTGCTGTACCTTGTTACTAAAAATAAAGACATATCTATGAAAACCAGACTGACTTTAAGAGTATTATCACTATTTCAGTAATTCAAATGATTTCAGTAAATATGTATAACTTTGTTTCTTAAATTTCAGGAACTATATATAATATACATAATTCCTGAGTGAATAAGACGTTATACATAATTAATGAAAATTTCAGTAATTATACATATTTACTGATTATACATATTTCCTGTAACATATGCACAGGTACATGTGTGGGTGCCCGTGACGGCTGAGCCAGGCGAGAAGGACAGCTCACCGACAAATTATATTAAAAGATAGTGCAGTATCACGCGGGATGGGAAGTCAACATAATTTGCTAACCGTTAATAAGAATTCGTAGATACACTTCAGCCTACAAAATGTATTGTCACAATCAGTACTTTGGTGTTCGATTCAAGTGGATAATTCCTAGAATCATGAAGCCATATTCCTGGAAATCTATTGACGGCATGCCGCGTTTCACCGCCCTGGCAACGGTTGCTAACGGCAGGGCGTCGTGACATGAGCGGGTAACTGTTTGACGGCCAGTGCATCTGTGACTGTAATCCGACAGGGTACTATGAAATGCGTTGACATTCCATTGTCACCAATGTGCAGGTGTGGTTGGCAACAATTTTACTTGTTAGGCTTAGAGACGTTGAGAATGGTTCACATATACACATAATAAACCATATCGATTTTACCTATCCTTACCGGTAGTATCAGGCGATGGCGTGGTCGGAGAGGAATAGCCGTTCCTCTTTTTGGCTCTCCCCATTGTGTCTGTCAGAGTGTCTTTGGGCTGTGATTCCTTGCAAACTGGGTCCAAATAAAATTTACACGACGAAATTCACGAAGCTCGCGCCAGACTAGTTAGAGCGGGCGCTTCCGCTCCTATAGATTCTTGCTATTATTGCTGGAAATCCCACCACTTTCGCTTCTTGGAAAGGCCTAGTTTCGGTTACCATATAAGGAGTAATGTATTCAGGCATGAGTTGTCACCAAGCGTGTCATTACTTAAATATCAATAGACAAATTCACAGCTCTCAGACAATCGCATATTTTTCTATAGTGACAAATCATAAATTTAAAAAAAAATAACGTTAACGTTGTACTTTGCGCGAGTTAGATCAATCAATAGCGCGGTTAACCGCTGCATTGACTAAGGGTCGAAAGTTGACGTGTGTACGAGCGGGTAGTGCGTGCGTGCGTGCGTGGGTTTTTATCTTTGTACCTTGCAGTGTTATATCAATACACACACACACACACAAACTACATATGTGTGTGTGTTGCTTTACTCTTACACACACACACTAACACAAAGTACATGTGTGGACACGGGGATGGTTATTTTAATCTCTTTACACGTGTATGTATGTATGTATGTATGTATGTATGTATGTATGTATGTATGTATGTATGTATGTATGTATGTATGTATGTATGTATGTATGTATGTGTGTGTGTGTGTGTGTGTGTGTGTGTGTATGTATGCATGCATGTATGTATGCGTGTATGAACGTATGCGTGTATGTATGTGTGTATATGTATGCTTGTATGTGTGCGTGTATGTATGTGTGTATGTGCGTGTATGTATGTATGTATGTATGTATGTATGTATGTATGTATGTATGTATGTATGTATGTATGTATGAATGGATGCATGCATGCATGTATGTATGTATGTATGCGTGTATGTATGTATGGGTATGCGTGTATCTATGTATGTGTATGCATGCATGCATGTATGTATGCGTGTATGTATGTATGCGTGTATATATGTATGCGTGTATGTATGTATGCGTGTATGTGTGCGTGTATGTATGTATGCGTGTATGTATAGATGTATGTATGCGTGTATGTGTGCGTGTATGTATGCATGCGTGTATGTGTGCATGTATGTATGCGTGTATGTATGCGTGTATGTATGTATGTGTGTGTGTATGGATGGATGGATGGATGGATGGATGGATGGATGGATGGATGGATGGATGGATGTGTGTGTGTGTGTGTGTTTGTTGATGATAAACTATGATAAATGGTCGGGGCGGACCGGGATTCAAACCAATATATGTCGGATGTTATAACATGACGTTCCGCTACATGTAACATGACGTTCCGCTACACAGCGAAATGCGCCGCTTACTCGTGCCTACTCCTGCCTACATCAGTACTATGCCAGGAATATTGGAAACCTCTGTCTGCAATCTGTCTTGCTATTTACAATTTTGCCTTGGATATTTATGCCAGATACATGCATTTGTGTGCACTGGTGATTGTACAAGTATTCCTGTGATTTTATATATATTTCGACTATTTGTACTGATCGTGTGTGGTTATTAACTGATTTTATAATTTAGTTTCGTACGTACCGGTTTCGGGGTTAACACTGGCAAAGTTCAAGTCCTTCGGCTGTTTCCTATGGTTTTGTTTGGTTTTGGTTTTGGACTTCTTCTGTTTATCCAAACTTGTTCATGTGTTTGAACTCAAGCACAACACGTTATCAACAAAGGAAACATAGTAAGCTGTCCATGCAATCATGTTTGCTTCGCTCACCTGAACTGTGTAGGCGTAGTTGAACTAAAGATTCGCCGTAGTTGTTTACGTTTCAAATGAGATACAATCGGTACATGTGTTATTTTAGTGTTATGGGTAGATTGTCAAACACTGCTGACAGCTGAAGGGATGGTGTAAATCCAGCTAGGGTCCATGCAGGTAGCGAAAGTAATCTAAGTCCCCATGGTCCCTAGTATGGTGATCTACTTTCGGTTGTTGGCAATGTATAGCCTGTTTTGATATTGTATTGTATTGTCATGTATAGTTGAAATGTTTTAGATTTAATTGCTAGTTTTAAATTTCTATCTGTGATAATCTAGTTGTTTTACTGTCTTTCGTTGACAGGTTTTTATAATTTACCTTTAATTATTATTAATCTATAACTTGATTTAGTCACGATATGGCTGAAATATTGCCAAAGTGACTTGAAATTTTAAGTCACTCACTCATCGTGTTATATATTCTGGCAGAAACCTTTTCGTGACGGTGTTTGTCACTTTACTCAAAAACTACATGTGCAATCGTTTTCTAATTTGGCATGATGCATATAATTGTTCTACCATTGTGAATTATTAATTTCATGAATTATGATAATAACAAAGTTGTTTAACAACTATCAATAAAATATTGACAGGGTTCAGTATTTGTTACGACGGAGGAGTGCAGAGCGAGGAACATCCAGGTGTGCTGTTGGTTCATTACCTGTGCTGAGCCTTTCTCGCACACGTGGCTGTTTCTCTGTCTGCACTCGTAACAAATAGTGTGAGTGAGTTTAGTTTTACGCCGCACTCAGCAATACTCCAGCTATATGGCGGCGGTCTGTAAATAATCGAGTTTGGACCTGACAAAATCCAGTGATTAACAGCATGATCATTGATCTGCGCATTTGGGAACCGATGACAAGTATCAACCAAGTCAGCAAGCCTGACCACCCGATCCCGTTAGTCGCCTCTTACGACGAGCATGGGTTACTGAAGGCTCATTCTAACCCGGACCTTCACGGATCGTAACAAATAGTGAACTGTGTCAATATTTTGATGATAGTTTCTTAAACAGCTATACACCTGAACGTGGGCTCTATACTAGATACATTGTAATGTACCGTAACCTCAGAGCTACAATGCCATCGCTTTGCAAATGATTACACTAAATCTTTCATGACTGTTTTCATTATCTGCACCCCACTACTGTTGGACACCATTCTCCCTGCACATAATCAAGCACAAACTGAATAGTCTTCAGTACGCTGAGCGTATTTTATTAGCCATTGTTATTTACAGTGCACATTCTGTTGGTAAAATATATATCATACTTGGATTCCTTTAATCTACCACAAATATGTATGAGTAAGTATCTGTAGTTTGATTTTATGCCGCTTCGACCAATATTCCAGCAATATCACGGCGGGATCACTACTAATAGGCCTTTACGCATTGCACCCATTGGCCGGGCCATTGGCGTGATGGACGACCATTACGAGAATAAACACACACACACACACACACGCACGCACGCACGCACGCACGCACACACACACACGCACGCCGTATACCATTAGGGCATCATTTGCTTTATGTGTTTAAAATATATACTTGTTATACGACGAGGCAGGGAATGTTTTGTTGTTGTTTTTGTTTTGTGGGGGGTCGTTGTTTTTTATTATTTTTTCGTTTGTTTTTTGTTGTTGTTGTTTTTGGGGGGTGTTTTTGTTTTTTCTGTTTTAATAATAATAATAATAATAAGTGCATTTATATTGCGCTATTTTCCATCCGTTGCGGTTGCTCAAAGCGCAGGTATCAAGGATAGAACTTGGAGAAGAGATGGGTTTTAAGTTTGGACTTGAAGACAGCTAAAGATGGGGAGGTTTTGATATCAAAAGGAAGACAGTTCCAGAGAGAAGGAGCACAGAATGAGAATGATCTCTGGCCGAAGGATTTGAGATTGGTCCTGGGGATGGTAAATAAAAGTTGATCATTGGATCTCAGGTTTTTGCATGAAGTATATTTCTGGAGAAGTTCTTTCAGATATCCTGGTGCAACATCATGGTAACAGCTGTAGGTCAGGGATAACACTTTGAACTCGATTCTAGCTTGTACTGGGAGCCAGTGGAGATTCATCAATATTGGTGTTACATTGGATGTTTTCTTACAGCGATGAATTAGCCGAGCTGAGGCATTTTGTACTCTCTGAAGCTTCATGAGTAGATCTTGCCTTATGTTGATAAGCAAACTGTTGCCATAGTCAATCCTGGACAGAATCAGAGACCTGACTAACTGGCTAGTGGCTTCCTGAGTCAACAAATGTCTAATCTGGCCAATACTTCTCAGGTGGTAGAAGCAGATTCTACAGGTGTGTTGTATATGGTTGTCCATTGTCATATTAGAGTCTAGAAAGACACCAAGATCTTTCACTGCATCAGAAAATGGTATTAATGAATCACCAATACGAAGCGAAGATTCAGAGATAGATTTTCGTTTGGTGTCTGTACCCACAAGAAGAACCTCTGTCTTGCTGTCGTTTAACTTAAGTTTGTTAGTCACCATCCATGATTTTATCGCAGATGTGCAGTGTTCAAGGTCACTAAGTGCTGTAGACGTATCTCGTTCGGGAAATGATTTGAGTAGCTGTGTGTCATCAGCGTACGAGTGATGAGCAACGTCATGGGCATCGATGACATCACAAAGAGAAGCTGTATATAGGGTGAATAGGATCGGTCCAAGGACCGAACCCTGAGGTATGCCGCAGTTAAGGGGAACTGGATCTGATGAGGCTTTATCGATGACCACTGATTGGCATCTATGATGAAGATAGGATTCAAACCACTTCAGAGCAGTTCCTGACAATCCAATTCGTGTCTTGAGGCAGTGAAATAACTTGTCATGATCGATTGTGTCGAATGCCGCTGTCAGGTCTAATAGCACTAGCAGATTTAGGTTCCGCTTATCTGTAGAGCGCAGAAGATCGTTTGTAACCCTTAACAAACATGTTTCCGTGCTATGACAGGCTTTGTTTTTTTATTTGTGTTTTGGGGGGAGTGTGCTTTTTATCGGGGGGAGGGTAGGGGTCGGCTTTGAGTCGGCAATTCGAAGGGTCGGTCTGGCGATGAGACACACAGAAAATACAAATGCTGCCCTTATGTATATAGATAAAAAGAGTGCAATGCGTTCACAAAATCCTTCTTTCTCGCTATCCTAGAAATTCACAAAAGCAATTGAAACAGGTCTCAGTGATTATCAGTTCATGTCAAGTACACATATCTGTTACATAATATTATAATAAATATACATGTCACCTTAATAAGAGAAGACAGCATTAACATACATTTAATGTAAGGATGAAAACATTCTACTAATACATTCGCGCCATCTCCAGTGTGACGGCATCCGTGTCTACTGCGTCATCACCAGTGTATAACTCCTTGGCAAGATAGCTGATCCCAGGGTTGAAATCAACGGCAAGATTTGTTCGGCTGTTTGGCGATGTTACTTGAGTGTTGTGGTGCTCCTGTAATATATACCGTGTCAAGGTAAAGTGTCTTGTTACGGTTTTACTCAACCCCTCACTACCTGAATGAGTGAGTGAGTTTGGTTTTACGCCGCTTTTAGCAATATTCCAGCAATGTCACTGCGGGGGACACCAGAAATGGGCTTCAAACATTGTACCATGTGGGGAATCGAACACGGGTCTTTGGCGTGACGAGCGAACGCATTAACCACTAGGCGACCCCACCGCCCCTCACTACCTGAATATAAACGTCGTAAAATACATTTACAATATAAAGTATATGAAGAAGTAAATGGCTACCATATAGATTTTGAAAGTTTGGGTTGAGGTCTGGCATTACCTGGATTATGTTAGGGTATTCATTTTACTAATTGTAAAACAATTACCACGCGGAGTTTGTTATGGCGTGTCTGGTATGCATTCAAAACAAATAGTAAATACTTTTGAGAATTTAGTAAATGTGGGGTTTACTAAAACGATGATGAATGAATACGTTATGACATAATACAATGCACGGTATTGTTCTTTTAGTATATCCATACAGGGATATGCAGAGAAATGTATATAGTTATTAATGCATGTGACGTATCTTACTTTCCGTACCCTTGTCAATGACGCCCACAGGCGCTCTAGACCAAGGGAGATTACTCCAAGTCCAATTCCGACGCTGACGACAACGAAGATGCCACCGACAGTGTGAAATGTGAGACCGCCACTCTCGTCTACCTGGGAACAAGTTAAACTGCCATTCTTCCACCATTTGGTCTTCATTGTTTCCAGGATGGTCTCAGACTGCAGTTGTAGTATCCTGGAATCTCAAGACCTGATCAAATTGTTCCAATCGTCATGTTTATAAACGTGAAGAATAGCTGATAGACGTGTGACGCTCTACTTATTGAAATGATGGTATATTAGCTATACGAGATCAACAATGTGTTACTTAAACTACTTGAAATGTGTTTCTATATCTGAACCTTACAATACTGCGATGTATAGAACTATTGTGCGGACATTGCTGCACTGTCATCCATGTATAGCTAGTGTGGCATTATTTATACTTAGGCAATTTATATTTATTTGTTATTTTTATCATCATTTACAATAAATGCACATAGATTAAATGCACAGGTTGCTTACACTGACACGTAAAGTATTAACCTATCAAGGTTTGCTCTTATACGACATACAGCTAAACCTTTAAATTCAAGTACAAACTTGCATGCATACTAGTTTGGGGCTAATACCTAGTCTAAGAAATGAAAATATTTTAATGAATACATATATTAATATATCTTCATAATATATATTAAATAGGACGTGAGAGACAAGCTAGCTATAATGACAGACCTGCATGGATTGTATTGGATATGTTTGTTTCTGGGTCGGTATGACAGGAGTTGCAAGCTTTGTTCTGTGTGCAAAGTGATGACTGAGACATCACATTCCGCCACATTTGTGTAAAACAGAACATTCACATTCGTGCACATTCAGATAAGAGCGTCGAGCTTAAAGTAAAATAATCACACATATGAAAGTAAACTAGTGTAAATAAGGCTGAAGGTACTCACGTATATGAGATGACACGGGTCAGCGGCGAACCTTCAGCCAAGGCAAATGCATACGCCCTACTGCTGAACTGCTTGCCAACAGCCAGCAAATCACAGTGCTTGGAGAGTTCATACTGTATCATCGGCGACTCATGGATGAAGGCAAAATTACCCGCCAATACCTTGGCAATGCCCTCACTGGAACTATTTAGCAAACCAGTGTTCTGGATGGATCTCCAGATCGTTAGGTACTTGTCTCCAAGTGGATAGTCCCACACCGCATAGTTTGCTGGTAATGTGTCAGAGGTGTCTATGTTCTTGGTATAAAAACTCATGCTCTTCCATTCTTGGTAAAAGTCTGATTCTATTTTAGCCATCCTTTGGAAGTACTCGTGGATTACAGTTCCTTCAACTACGGAATACTTGATTATGTTTTGCTTTGCGAGGTCATCTAGCGACTCTACGAAAGAAGGAACGTATGAATTCCAGTAAAAACACGAAAGATATTGTATAGAAGCAGAAGATACATGTACCATATAACTTGTAGATCAAAAGGAATACATTGGTAATTTACTTCCGAAACTTACAGACACTCTTGCTTTGATTACATGAATTTATAGGCTGGCTGATTTGTCATAGGTTATTGAATCAAACTATCAAAGCAACAACAGTTGGTCACGAAAGGATGGTGGTATTCTGCAAAGCACACTCTAGGATGATCATCACACGTACCATGGTGTAATTAGATGTAAAATGTTCTAGTCATCTCATATGCTCCATTATATACTGAAACAAACATGAAAGTACACGTGTTTTTCTATCTATTCCCAGATTTCCATACAAAATGCATACAATGCTTACGAAGGAACCTGGAAAAGAGTAGGAACACTTGTACTCCCTGGTTCGTTTCCATCAGAATATAATGGACGTAATGTACTACAAACTGTGGAAAGACAGGACAATGTAGCACTACACTATATCAGACATGTGCACTACCTATAGGTACGTTGAGCCTGGAGGTGGTGAGGAAGGCAGCCAGGTTAGCCGTGTATGTAGCCATCATGATGCTGCAGAAGAACCAGAATCCGCCCACCAACATACGAGTCGAGAACGTCCGGGGTGTGCACTCGGGACCTGCAATACAGTTAGATAATAACCATCGCGTTTCGAGGAATTATCTCTACCAAGCCTATGTTGTTACTTTTTAGTGTCGTTCTTACTAGTGCGGCATATAATATTATAACAAACTATACCAATGTGACGTTATGTCGCTACAACTGAGCGTTATGTCGCTCAGCATTGAGAAAATGCAAAAGATAATCCCTCCGATCTGTCTCCGAGTATGTGAAACAATGGTGATTGTTTCAGAGAACCACCAAGTGATAAGGAGAATATAATTGTTGGTCTTGGTCAAGTATCAGAGACAATATCCTGACGGGCCCTTTATTGCGCATCAATTTATAATTGGCATTCCTTAAACTATAACCATAAGGCAAACACCCTGAGACAGGCGCATTCGTTAACTAATAAAAGTCGTCCCCTTCGCTTGGTATATTTCAGCTTGGTCAGAGAACAACCGTTGACTATCATTGATAATCAAAGAAGACGGGGAGCAATCTTGCCCAGAGATGGACAGAAGAAGGAGTAAAGACGGACTGATATTAAGGGTGGCTACTATTCTTGTTTTGAGTTTATATTCATAGACTGACCATAGGGTTGGGCCATTTTTTATCTGGACGTCTTGATCATGAAGTAAAGACGCTGGTTTCAACAATGAAGAAAAGTATACAACCACACTATAAGCCAAGCAAACTGGTCCAATATCCTCACTGTGTAAACAATCGGTCATTGTAGATCAGACGGGGGTAACGTGATACCTTTTAATTCTACGTGGGGCCAAAGAACGCTATCGGGAAATGTATACAACCCTGACAGGACTATATATAAGAAAATAACATAAGAAAATGTTGATCTTAACCGCAGACTTAACCAGCACTACATTTACTAAGTTCAGTTCATCCGACAAAAAACTTCACATGTAGTATATTAAATAAAGAAGTTTCCAAGTGGACTTCAGCAGCTATAGGACTAAATCCTTTTGCCTCTCTTTATTTGTTAACTATCTCACATAAATTAACACGCAAATGTCCTGCAGGCCATGAGGAAATACAGGCCTGGCACATAATCTGTCATCTACATTCCAAAGGGCTGTCACTTATTTCGAAAACTGGAAATGCGAAAGAGCTAGTTATACAAATATGGTCACCAAATCCAAGATCGAATTGACATAGTGACTCACCTGCCATGGGAAATGACGCCGTGACGAGCCACAGTCCCTCGCTCACCGTGAACCTCCTTTGATCATTTTGCTGAACGTTGTTGTAGGGGCTGAAAGGGCTCAACTTCTCGAAGACCCACACGAGAAGTCCCGTCAACAGTAGGACTGACGCCCAGCATGCCCAGACCTCCCCGGAAAACACGTTAGCAAATGCCAACAGAGAGGTCCCCGCGTTAGTGTTCTTGATGAGGATTTGAATACCCCCGAACTCGTAGTATGGAGTTGTGAAATCGGCGACCTTGTCTCTCTCGGTTGTCATCGACAGGGATGCCACAGCTATGTCGGCGTACTGGGTGGGGAAACGTTACATTCTACAGACATCTGTATTGTTGTACATTTAAAATCGTCACAAAAGTCGGAAGACACATAACACATACCGTATCATATATATCAGGAAGGATCTAACAATGTGGAAGAAAACATATTACAATTCTTACACTCTGAAAATGGCGTCGTGTCCAGATAAGTACTTGAACGCCGCTTTCAAGTATTTTTCACGCCGCTCAGTCTACATTTGAAATATTTGTATGTCAGGACAACAAACCTAAAACTAAACTGATCCATTTTTCATCGAACTGATTGATGGGTCTAGTTGTATAAATTGCTACGTTTGTTTATTTGTATTTATATTCTAAATAGGACATGAATGCTTGTGTATTCGGTGAAGCGTCAGAAAAATATACGTCGTTGCCAGAATGTCATTGAGAATGTGTTACTTCAGACAGGGAAAATGTCATTGTCTTTTCAATATTAATGTCTTTACGGTCGGAAGATATGTATATTCGGCTGAATACCAGATCCACTTAAGCCGACGCTTTTGTTTACTGACAAGCATCTTCGTTACACCATACTAAGTTGGTATACTGCATTAAAATACCTTATCATCTTATTACACTGTATAAGCTTATCAGTGTCAAAACTTGTTGAACATGTTCAGTAGCATGTGATTGTTGTATCAGTAAGGAATAATGATACGATTTTTAAGATTTACTTCAACGCTGTACTATCATTGTGTTTTGACAAGATCGACACAAATGTGATTTCCGGATGCTGGGGTTCCACGGCCGTTGCTTCCTGCATGGCCAGAAACTACAATCCAAAATGCTGGGCTTTTCAAAAAGAAAAACGTAAATACGTTTACAAGGTTCTTACATATATCTACTCGCTGGAAACCCTACTGATTTCGTGCAGATAACTTGTAGAACTACACGGCTTTAATTGTGATGGAATCGACACATGTGTAAGGTTCTCACTTAATCCGTCACGGTAAACAGACTGTAGATGAGGAGACCTCTAACCTAACGTGTTCACTCAAAACAGAGATATGTTAGTACATAGATATAATGTTGTCTAATCAATATGTTTTACCCCAGTAAGTATTTCACCCATCAATCCTGTCCACGTTCCATCCGGGTTCTGTTTTCCGTACTGTCCATCCTTGGCTTCGTAAACAGTGAAATCGAGGTCAAGACGCCTCGCAATCTCCTCAAACACATCAATGGAGTATCCGGTGTACTTCGTTCCATTCTCGGTCTCTTCGCGGATCACGAACGGGGGTTCCTGAAATTGGATGCCGAGAATATTAAGCGCCCCCAGAAGGGATACCGATTTTATATTTATACAACCCATGATAATCCGGGTTAGAATTGTTCTTGGATCGGGTGGTCAGGCTCGCTGACTTGATTGACACAGTTTCGTATATCAACGCTCATGCTGTTAATCACTGGATGGTCTGGTCCAGACTCGACTATTTACAGACCACCGTTATATAGCTGGAATAGTCTTGAGTGCGTCGTTAAACATTTATTTATGCCATTAAAAATCCAAAGAACTCATTTCTGTCATTAAATTTGATCTGTGTCGATTTAACATTCAATAATTTGTTTTGTAAACAGTGATCTGTGCTAGATATTTTTGGAAAATATATCAGGAATACTAGTTTAGGAGATGAATCTGCAGCTTCATTGTCCCTACCATATTTAAAATGTAGTAAATCTGTGCCGAAATGGGAAATTAGATATTGTGTAAACATTGTATATCGATGCCTTCCTCTCTCTCTTTGTGGATACGTAAGGCCACAGAATTCAATATAGATTTATCATTGCCAGAGTTTTAATCGTAGAATTTGTCATTTTAATTCGTGGCTAGCTTTGTCTATCATCGCCAATGGCTGAGGGGATGGTGTAAATCCAGCTAGGGTTCATGCAGGAAGCAAAGGTACTGTAAGTCCCCATGGTTCCTTGTTTGGTGATCCACCGTCAGCTGTTGGCAATCTATAGCCTGTTTCTTTTATATTGTAATGTCTTCTGTAGTTAAAATATTTTAAATTTACATACTAGTTTTATATTCATAATTGTGATAATCTAGTTGTTCTACTGTCCTTTGGTGACAGGCTTTTCATAATCTACATGTAATTATGACGAATTTAAACCAGTTTTAAATTCGCCAGTTAAAACCAGTCACGATATGGCGGAAATATTGCCGATGCGACTGTAAATCTTAATTCACCCACTCTCTCTTTGTGGGCCAGTGGGACAGTTTCTCGTCACGCTGAAGACTCGGGTTCGATTCACCACATGGGTATAATCTGTGAAGTCCTTTTCTTGTGTCCCCCGCCATGATATTGCTGGAGTATTGCTACAAGCGGCGTAAAACTACTCAGTCACCCAATCATTCACTCCACACTCACTGCAAGTGCATTCCTTAGCGTGTATGTTAATGTGCGCCAGCGTATCCTTTATAGACTGAGATTACTTGTTTTTAGCTGACGTGCTTTAACGATTTGTATAATGTTATAGGGTTTTAACACTAATGCTTCTTAATATCAGAGACCCAGATACAATGACTGTGGTAGTATCATGACGTTCCACATCAAAGGGATAATAGATTCAGTATCAATACTTACGTGTTTGGTTACAACAACCAATCTAGGCTTGCTGCGACTCTGGGTTGAAGAATTGTGTAGTTGCATGTTGGTTTGTCTTGACCATGTCCCTATCTAGAACACACACGAAGATAATTCAAGGGATTTATACGTTAAGTTATGCCGGCTTGGGATATCATACATAGGCTTTCCATTACTTCATATATCAGGCATTCCAATTAAATATGGGTGGTGGGGTAGCCTAGTGCTATTTGACGTTTATAAATGTTCAGGTGGTGAGGGCGGTGGGGTCGCCTAGTGGTTAAAGCGTTGGCTCGTCACGCAGAAGACCCGGGTTCGATTCCCACGTGGGTACAATGTGTGAAGCCCATTTCTGGTGTCCCCGCCGTGATATTGCTGGAAAATTGCTAAACGCGGCGTAAAACCATACTCACTCACTCACTCACTCACTCACTCCAGTTAAATATATCAGGTATTGCTCAATATGGATTACTGGTTTGTACCTTAAAAAGGAGTATAGTGTTATAAGTAGCAGAGCAGAGTAGCAGCGTCAATTAGATGACACAAATACGGAAAAAATATGTCAAGACTAAATCATAACTATATTAACTGGGGCGTCCTAAATAAGAGAAATTGTGCTAAGTTTTCTTCTTCAACAATTTGCTTTAGTCTGCACAGTTTATAGGTATTCAAATTAAACGACATATCAATAGATTTACTGTAATGAACCTCTATACATTCGTACTTACTGCTGTTTGGTTTGTCCTTAAATAATTATCCTTTAACAGCTCCAACACCATAGTTTCAGTCCGCGAAGGCGACAACGATATATTACCAGTGATTCCAGGATACTGAAATGTGCAAGGATTTGATAGATTTGTAGCCAAGTATTGACCCCTATACACATTGACGTACAGGTTATTACCCGATCGTGTTAGGGGATCGAACGTATCCTGTTATAGAAATAAACCTGTATTGGCCCGCTAATTACATAGTGAATAACATCGTGACACAATATATAGAATCGCGGGAGAAGGGTACGAGACGGGAAAAATCAAACGAATGTGATCACGAAGTCTAACTTAAATTTCAAATATACTGATATCGCTCGATGATGGTTGTATAAGCCAGTTCCCTTACGCTGTTGTACCAATGTGAGCAACCTACAAACGGAACCAGGGAAACTTCGCCTGTTTCCTATTTAGATTTATAGATAACTACACATAACTCAGGATCGGTGGGGTAGCCTAGTGGTTAAAGCGTCCGCTCGTCACGCCGAACACCCGGGTTCGATTCCCCACATGGGTACAATGTTTGAAGCCCATTTCTGGCATCCTGGTATGTTGCTGGAATGTTGCTAAAGGCGTCGTAAAACCATGCTCACTCACTCACTATAAAGAACTCAAGGGAAACCACTAATTATACATTTAGTTCGTTATAAACGTAGTGCTCGCATTGATATACAGCAAGTAGCCGTGAAGAAAAGAACACAGTTCGTTAAATCCGTTAGTTCGGTATAAGAGTGGTCGCTATAAACGTACTTACCGCTGCCTGAAGATCCAATAACAAAGAAAGATCACTATTGCTGCCTAGCAAGTGGCATGAATTCCACTTTAAGAAATCCATCTTTCCCTCCACGTGGAGCAGCTCAAGTGTAAATTGTCGGTGTCTACATTTCAAATATTCGATGAATACAAAAAAGCGTCATCCGAACAGTGTCGCATTTAAATACCAAAGGCCGGAATAAAGCTTTCAGATGGTTTATAGCAGATATGAGGGGGATGTTTCAACATTTGTAAGTATCAGTGACAAAAAAAAAGTCTATGCAATTCCCAAATGACATGTACCATGGTCCCGTGTTTTATTCAGATGAACAATTAACTTGCCTTTGCATGTGTTTCTGATGACACCTATGACACAAGGTATCTTCACTAATTGGTGGTGATTCATAAAGTTAATGTTTCTGAGTGCAACGGACTTTGCTTTTGGGAGCGACTTCGTAAGATCACAAAGAGGGTTTCTCGCTTTGTTTGTATACATGTGCATAAATACTTGCTTACTTACTGTGTCAGTGTGTAGCTCAGAAACGTCGCCTTCTGCTGAAATACAGGTCTCACTACATTGGTTGTTATAGTGATCGTCAATCTGGCTGCTTAAAATCGTCATGGCTGTCGCTAAACCATCAATGAGAAAACCAGTATCTATCTGCAATGAACATAATTTATAATGAGCAATGTCTGTCCAAGGATTAAAAGAAAACCTTTCTTGAAGCTATCGGAACGGTATTGACGGTTTGGAAATACACAGCTTGCCCATTGGTTATTTGTTCATATGCATTGCAAACACGATGTAAGCATATTACACCTCACGTTTAGTAGGTGAAGTGTATAGCACTCAAACGTTGCGTTCACATACAGAAAAGCACAGTGTATTTACTGCTGCTTGTATCAATCTGGGTTCGAGACGGTTTTATAATACTAGCCGACTGGAATACTATACGATGATACCCCACTCAGACAACGAGGAGAGTTATATGGATACACAACTTCATTATTAAAATGAGCTACGTTTCGATGTTATCTAGTAAGTGCAGTTTGTTCAACACACCAACTTTTAAATGCCACTCAAAGACGTTCCCCACTCAGAAACATTATGCTTACGACTGGAAGAGAAGTCGTATGATCCCTGTGTGTCGAACACCTGGAAGGATAACAACACTAGTATCTTTTAAAGTCGTTAGTATTACCAGTATATTGAACCATCGACCTTCCGCTCACCGTGCAAACACTCTACTCATTAACACGTGGGTTTGATAACATATTGTATTACCTTGTAACATAATGTTTAGACTGACAGAAATAATACAGGCTAATGTTTATTACACAATTTCTATGTGTGCACACTTACACTGCCATTGGTGTGAGCACCTGGAACGTTGTTCCACGTCAGACGGTGGCGGAACATGACCAGGTGCTTGATGGGGCAGCTTGGCATGTTGAACTGTAATGAGTCGGTAAGAACTACGACCCAGTGAAAGGTATCGGGGACACCTACTTGACAAGCCTGTGAACATTTAACACAACAATGCCATATGAATATGATCAAATATGAATTGCTTTACATTTTACATATGTCACCTATTGGGAATATATGTTGTAGACTCAACTGGCTGATCGAAAGATGATTCTTTAGAATTAATGTTTTATTCAGATGAACAAAAAAATTAACCTGCCTTTTGCATTTGTTTGTGAGGGTCGCCAACTATGGGGCAGGATTCGCTCACCATCTCGTGAACACATGGTATCTGCACTATTTCATGATGTATGAATTTCTATACATTGTACAGGTATCACCTATTTCGAATATGTTGTAGACACAACTGTTTTCTCGACTCAGTTTCGAAAATTTACGACGATGCCTTAGAATTAATTCACGACTGAAGATTGAACATATTACTAACCTCTGTATTATAGAAAGCTAGAGGGTTGATATGTTTAATGAGGATTGGGGATGAGCAAAATGTTACGAACGGCGGCATAAAACGCTCTGATGTACACAACTATATTTAACTTCAGCAAATCCTACCACTTCCAGCAGGATTTCGAGGGATGACTTTGTTCCCACTGCAACAATATAACGCAGTGTTTTCCCTAATGCCAGCTGGGTTAGCCATGACGCCAAGCTGTTGTCCGATGTCATCATCATCTTCCGAGTGAGGACGTTTGGTACCTCACGATACAGAACATCCGGGATACTGCCATTACCTGAATACAAGAGTATCAACCGGTGAAGGAATAGCTTAAGTACTTTACGAAATTAACTGCTGGATATCATTGTTGAAAATGCTCATTTTCTGATACTTGAAAATACAAATATCTAAAAGGCTAATATAATGAACTGCCGCTTTATGCAAATACCACTCAACAAAACATTATATCTGTTATATGAACAACTCATAATTTAACTCTTATGTGACAATGAGTGTTTATGTATCACACTATGTAAATAAGAATACTAACTATTATACATATTTGCAACCAAGCGTGCAAATGGAATTGCACTGAGTGCGTGTAGCCTCCCAGTGTGAAGTGAAATTAATTCACGAAGACTTAATGGTATATGGCAGTTTGTGGAAGGTTATAAATGATGTTTTGATGATGCACATCGAGTATTCATTTGACGAAGTAGTAAAAAGGTTGAGGTCTTTTAACGTCTAAAACGTATCCATAAAATAGTTTTCTGGTTCCTTTTGCGTTTAAGGATTTCATAAACCATCATTTCAAAGTCCTTATGTCATAATGTATGTAAAACATACAAAAGCATTTGTTAAATATTCCAGAAACCGTTATCGGCATTTTTGGTTAAAGACTATACATATTAATAGAGCATTTTGTATTTTCGATTTACTGAAATGGTTTGTTCGTTTGTTTGTTGCACGCAGAAATCTACACAATTGGGATACGATGACACATGTCAACCAAGTAAGCCAGCCTGATCGGTGATGGTGTTAGTCGCCTCTTACGACAAGCATGGGCTGCTAAAAACCAATTCTAACCCGGATCTTCACGAGTTATACTGTAATAGTTTCAGCCACTATGTAAACATTCGTTTAAATAATACGTGTAATTATATAAATAATTCTAAATGTTTTGAGGTGAGGTGAGGTGAAATTGGGTTTTACGTCGTGCTTGAGAATATTTCGCTGATATCACGACGTGCATGCGTGTGTATGTGTATGTGCGGCTGCTTGTACTAGCCCAGACTTAAGCTGGTTTTATAGTGCTAGCCCACTGAGATACCATGCCGCAGTGAAGCATGAATACCCCTCTCAGACACAGTATACTGACTCCGAGCCGACCAGTCCTTGTTGTACCCATTAATGCCGAGCGCCAGGCAGGGACCAACAAGTACCATATTTTAACGTCTTTTGGTATGACGCGGTCGGGGATCGAACCCGCGACCTTCCGCACCCCGGGCGGACGCTCTAACCACTACACCACGGAGGCGGTCTCTCAATGTTTTGAGGGAACTGAAGATTCATGTGGCCGTTGTCATTCAAACATTTTTCCGAAAAAGGCGACGAAGTCGGTTAAAGTTCGTGGTCATGCTAGGTTCGATTCCCCACATGGATACAACGCGTGAAGCCTCTTTCTGGTGTCCATTGTATCTAATACTGCGTAGCAACGGCGGCAGACCATATTCACACATTTATTTTCAAAACGACGTAAAATGTAGGATAACGTAGGATTTACTCACCAAAGATGTCATCATAGAGGAAGGCAGTCTTGGCTATTGTTGTTATTCCTAGGTTAGTGAAGTTTAATGCAGCCTCGCTGTAAAATGTAAGATCGGGACGTATGTCTATTACTTTATGACCGTTACACTTTCTGTTGGACACCCGTATGTAATGTCTGAACAAGGTGGCAGCAACGTTGGCAAACGTGCACGAGGGAGTCGTGTCAAGTATGACGACAACGTCACCCTTGAATTTTCCACAGACTGAAATGAAGTTGTCATAATAATAAATATATGCTTGATAAAGCGTGTTACAAAACGTATCAGTAGAATAGAAGCGGCAAACCCCTTTCCACACCCATAAGAAAGTTCTTCTAAAAGCAGATTAGATTATACAGTTGTGACTATATCATAAGTATAGACACAGTCCGTCCTTAAAGTGTCATTCTCGGATCATGAACTATTAACAATTCAATATGTCTCTGAGAAACATTTACATGCACACAAGCATCGTCTGAACTATTGGCTTTTGAGCATGTTGTTAAAAAATTCATGTTTTCTTGACATTTGAAACATGAATTATAAACAGAAAAAAATTCTTCTAAAAACATTTTGTATAAACACTTTGATTAGAAGCGACAACACCCTTGCAACATACATAAGGAATCTCAGCTAAAAGCAGAGCGTATTGTACATTTGTGGCTACATAATGAGTATGTATTTGTTTCAGCAGTATTACAGCTGTACTGTGTTGTTTGTAAACAATCGAGTCTGGACCAGACAGTCCTGTGATGGCATGGCTTGTGGACATTTACTTTTCAATGGCGTATTAACATTTCAAATTCAATGACAGCAAATGTCCAAGTAGTTTTGATACCTGCCGGTTTTTCCTTGTACCATTTGCTCAAAAGTTTAACAGCTTCGACGTTTAACAATTACAAAACAAGGTTACGCTTTCTGTCCATTAAAGAGTGGTTACTCACGCGAAGAGATATGGAAAGCGGTGTTTTTATTGTTCATCCGATAAGTCAGAATCTCTGATGAAGATACATTGTATGCAGCTGATAATAGGGATGACCAATCACGTGAGAAGAAGTCGACATACAAATCCCTGTCGATGAGGACGACTGTGACGGAAAGAAAATTGATTTGTATAAAAAAATGAAAAATATAATGTTACAGAAATCGAATACTTTGGTGACTAAGGCGTACCCCTTGTTCGAACTGTGATGCAGAAATCATGGGGTGGAATAACAGTGTCGAGTTGATTATTAGTTCAACACCATACCCCCTATGGAAGGTTCACGGATGAATGAATAACCCCTGCATAACGGCGAGATCTCCAGTGATATCTAGTTAACACGATACAAGGACTAAACACCACTTACTCACACACTCATGAAACAAATTATGAATATGATCCTATGAAACAAGTAACAGTACGAATAAATTGTAACGGGAAATTGAATATGATTATCTATTATAAGAAGTTATGTTTCATATCACTTCAGTCGCCTTTGGTTGTTTGCTTAATAAAAACAGAATAATACAAAACAAAAATGACAGCATGAAAGGGCTTTTCTAAGTGCCCAGTTCTTTTCTTTCATCAATACAATAATTCTGTTTAAATCATTAAAATCACGACAATATGTTTAAATCTAACGACAAATCGAATATGAGTATTTATTGTAAGACACCATATCTTATATTACTTCAGTGCCCTTTGATTATTCAACCAATAAATATAGAAACTTCATAATCGTTTCTTGTATTTTAATTGTATACTGACTGGTAGACATCTACATAATTACAAAAAAACATGATATCTATGTTTACTCTGCAATCATCACGCATTATTGATAAAAGATTATCATATCAATCATAACGGTTCTTGTATTGTGATGCGTACGTACGTGACTCTTATTGACGTACACGTGATGTCTACCACGATGTACATTTCCCAACGGGACATATAGACAGACATCCGAGCTAATTACAGAATGGAGATATACGATAACAAAGACACATTGCATAAGAAATCGACATGCGACATAACAAAATAATCCTATCATACCTATTTTCGTCGACAATACACTGCCTCCAGAATGTCCCAGTCCCAAGAGTACGGCAGCAAGCAGTACCGAGAACATTCGGCTCAAGTTCGTCTTGCAGGGTGTTTTTATTCCAAATGTGAAACTTTTTTCTTGCCCAAAATAAATCCGACATTTTCCTCCAAGCACCCGTGACCATTAGGGTGAGAAGGGAACACTAGCATTCAATTTACCTGTGTTTCTCCTCCACAGGTACAAACCACTCATCAGCTGGCCTCGAGGGACGACGCTAGTAGTTGGACACAGATCGAATAGGAAACGGGTAATCCTTTCACTGGGATGTTTCTTGCTCACAAGTTATTAAACGGGCTTAAGTGGCAAATTGGCAGCAAAATCACCTTTATAGGAAAATTAGAACATTCATTTCTCGTTGTTGATGCTGATGTTGATGATCCCAAATACATTCTGCTTATCGGTTACATTAGGGATCGTATGCTACCTGGCTCATCTTGCTTGCTGTCCCTGGTTTTCGCAGGACATATTGTAACAATTGCAAAGTAATATTTACTTACACCATCAACTGTCAAGGATTAGAAAATGCAGATGTCGTTTTACGTAATATGTTTGCGGTTTTCAGAGTTTAGTTCTTTCAGATTACGAGTGAGTATGAGAAATAATCTATATGTTTGCATAATATTTCTGTACGCTATACAATATTCACAGTCATTTTATAAAATATATATATCTATTATTTCAAAATTTGTATGGGACATATAACGATTCCTGTTTGCGCTAGAAACCCAAAGTATGTGAAAACAATTAAAACTTTTTATTGATTTTATGCCCTTTGTAGTCAACATTTTACACAAAACGTTTACATTTTCTACATTCATTCTGTTGTTTCCGACATTCTCCCACCGGCCCGTGTTTCAATCAAATTGCGCTTGGAAGGCCGTCCTATTGATTCTCTCGACCGTCAGTGGTTGTACGAGGCTCCGCACTCATAGTCGTCAACAGTGGGAACGTGAACACTGTCCATCTGTTCGATTGTTATTTATAACAGGCTTGGGCATCACAACCATGTTGGTAAGTATTCACACAATCTATAAAAGTACAGGTCAACTATCCTCACAAAATATACTTCAAATAAAGGAAAACTTATGCACGTTGTTGGAAACGAATCACATCTCATTATTCCCTATGCCCCTGTTATATTCATCAAATCAAGACATTTTAAAGGTTGTTATAATGTTTAACATACTTAAATATTTCATTATTTCGGCAACTACTAATAAGTATTATATTGTATTGAGGCGAGGGGGCGGTTGAGTAGCCGAGTGGTTAAAGCGTTGGCTCGTCACGCCGAAAACCCGGGTTCGAATCCCCTCATGGGTACAATGTGTGAAGCCCATTTCTGGTGTCCCCCGCCGTGATGTTGCTGGAATATTGCTAAAAGCGGCGGAAAACCAAACTCAGTCAGTCAGTCAGTATTGAGGCGATGTCTACAGTTTACAAAGTCCCTTTGTGTTGAACGCAAATTTGACACAGATGCCTGAATTATATATATATCGTTATTCTGAAACAAAATGTGTTTGGAACAAATATTTAAATACTTTGTTATCATCCATGGAGGAAAATGGTGGGAACGGTATTCCATACAGCAGAAGTAATATAGGAGCTTGAGAAAAAATAATATAATGGTAAAAACACGCCGAGACAGCTGCCAAATAAGAATAGCGACTTAAATAGTAGGAATACTACTGAAAGTCCGTGATGAGCCCAATGACCTCCCCACACTAAACTAAAACTGTGACAGCGCTGTACTGTGCGTTAATGCTTTATATGTTAACCCAGGCGTGAGCAGAGTTGTAACACGTAAACGTATTGATCATCAATTGAAGAAATAAATATGTTTGTAAAGTAATGTAGGGAAAAAAATATCAATTGAAAAGTATTATCGCTCAGATGATCAATGCTCAAAGGGATTTCATTTTAATCAATTAAATTGATCCTGTTAAATCGATCCTGTAATAAGTGCCCTTACTGTTATTATTTGCCATTTTGATGTCTTTGTAATACTTTGAGTCCATGGCATGCATGGATGTTTCGGTACCTTCATATATTTGTGGTTTTCATTTTTTCCACAAGGAAGACTGTATCCGTATATCCACGTGTTGTCTTTTTGCACTGATATGACATCATACAAAGGTGATTTCCTAAAGCGTTGGGGCAGCACGAAGTACAAAGTGCCATTATTTTTGCAATTCAAGAATATTCGTACCGTTGCGGCGTCGCTGCAGTGCGTTGATGGAGTTTGCTTATCAGAACTGGGCGGCTATGCAGATTGAAAGCCAAAGTACCAGAACAAAAATGTTCGTAATATTGATCACCGGTTTGTCTGGTCCGTGTTGAATATGAATAACGTCCATATTCATAATGTGGACATTTCATAACGAGCTCAATTCTGCACCAACAAAAGAGGAAAGCTCAAAGCGTTGGAACATTGTTGGGTTCAATTGACAATATTACAAAAACAGACTAACAATATTAAAAAAACAATCTATTATTAAGAATAAAGAAGGAGAGTATCAGTTGATCTGCAAAAATATACAAGCATGAAACATAAAAATATAGCAACCAGTATCCATTTGCAGTGCAATCTGATTTGACCATACGGTGTTCTCCCGGAAGTACACAATATCAATAAGCTCAAAGCACCCGAGGAGAAATACATCCACATCGTCCCATATGTATTTCGTTAACTCAGGCAGGCGTTGCTGAATGAAAGTAAGCCCTTGATATTCGCAATGATATATATGTACAACCATATAAAACAAACATCTAAAAAGAAGCCTGTCAGTTGAATCCACAGTGTCCAAGGGAATGGATAAAAATGAGAGTGTCTTCAATGGTCACCCTAATGTCTAAACCATCAAGATGTGTTTACTCTCATTGATTGTAAGTGTAATAATCGTTGCAATATTTACTCACAACCTAATAATTGACGTGAATGGAGTGTCCACTTACTGAACGTTCATTGATTTGAAAGGGAGGCTGTATGATCAGTTCGGAAACATTCAGTTAAAACACTCGGGTTATATTCGTAAGATTTACCGAAGTGGTTTGTCCATTTGCTTTGGGTGTTTTAACCTGACAGTAAAAACACTTACAAATTTGATTAGAAAGAAGAGAACAGAATCCAAGCTTAAAACGTTTATATCACTGCGAGTATTGCCTTAATTAGACACACCTACATGTCTGAGTTTTGAAACATGTCAGTCAGTTCACCACAATCCAAGTGGTTCTAAAATCGTGGCTGTCGTAAAGCGTTATAGATACTTGGTATGCGGAGAAATATGCAATTTGGGGAACATCGCAATGAGCATTGATTATGCACAGCCTGAATCTAAGGGTATTGTGTTTAAATTTTCTCTCAAACTGGCGATCATACAGAGCATACTGAAATGAACATGTAAAGCACATGCTTCACACATATCTAAAAAAGCTATTTGTTGCAGGTTCACATGCTGCGTAGGCGCCAAGCTTACTGGGGTATATATTTCATAATTGCAGTACATATACGTATATGCACTGCAGTTTTCTGAACTAACTGAACTAATTCAAACTACGACAGTACAAGAAATTATTTAGTTTTACTGACATGGCAAGACGTATATTTTAAGAAAATACACCATGGCAAGTTATTGGCATGTATGACGCAGGAATGTCCTGTTGCAACATCGGGGTTAACATTAACCGCTCAGTTATCAGTTGACTTGTGAGGAAGCACAGGGTCACCGGTGGCGTGAAGTATTTCTTAAGACCTGGAAGACCTGGGAAAACCAATGACCAGATGGCTGAGTCCATATTCGTCTGGTTGGACTCAATCCCATATAACCCATGCGGAAGAACTGTACCGGCAATGGAGATATTTGTTTTGGCTGCTGATTAGCGGGTTCTTCTTAACGTTCTCGTTAGGGATATCATCAGGAGATGATCCCTTGGAGCTGAACTCCTTGTGGTGGCTCTGTGATAGTCTGAGGGATTGCGTTTAGTGTAACGAAAGTGGATCTAGATCTCATTGCTGTACCCGTGACACAGAATGTTCAACGCCATCTACAAGAAGTACTGGATGCCGCCGTCGTGCCACTTTTAGAAAAACATCCGCTTGCCAGTCGTCCAATATCCATAAATAACAACGTTCGACCTCCTCACCGTTCTCGAGCCATCATCGTCCATTTGCATCACACCCGTGAAGGTCCGGGTTAGAAAATTGATCTTCAGTAACCCATGTTTGTCGAATAACGGCATCGGGTGGTCAGGCTCGCTGACTTGGTTGACACATGTCATCGGTTCCCAATTGCTGTTGATCACTGGATTGTCTGGTCCAGACTCCATTAATTACAGACCGCCGCCATATAGCTGGAATATTGCTGAGTGCGGCGTAAAACTAAACTCACTCACTCATTTGCATCACAACGCCTTCGAAACATAACAATGGCCCGCAAGAAGCCCCGATATGAACCCCATCGAGATCGTTCTGTTCAAATTCGACAGGAACAATACTGAGGAAAACCTGGACATGTTTGACGATGCGTGTTTGTTGTTGATGATACCTGTGAGAAATATGGCAATATTCTGAAAGATTGGAAACAGGAAATGTCAGGTCATTGTTGATGATACCAATATTCAGATATTGAGGAAAACCTGGAAATGTTAGGAGTCGACCGATTCACGATCTCGGATTTTGTGTGGACTCGGACATATATTTAAGATATACACTGTCAAAAAAGGAAACGCAACCCCTGTCTTCGCATATAAGACATTTTAGAAATAAAGGTATTGCTGGTAAATGCAATTTGTGTGATAGGTGAGTATATCATGCACGTCGTTCATGAACGTAAGCGTTCGAACAAACCAATTAGCATGCATAGGAATCTTTTATTGTTTGTTGTCTTCACCATGCATGAAGTATTCATGGTGACTACGCCAAAGCCAAATGCACATGCAAATTATGGAAATGACAGTTAATGTTGGGGTATATAAAAGCCCATGTGGATTCGTCTCTCACTCCACCATTCGTCGCCAAGAATAAAGGTCGAAAATGCCACGGTGAGTGCTGCAGATAGAAATATCGCCATTGGTCGTCTTGAAGCCGGAGGCGTCAGATGTGTTCTGTTCCAAGGAGGTGCCGTGCAGTGATTGCAGCTCGTGGTGCCCACACGAGGTACTAAGAAAGACGCCCCCTTGTGACAAACCAGTTTCATTGAGGGAACTCTTAAGATAATTTCCTTAAACTTGAATATCGAGACTATCAATGTGCCAAC